TTGGATGCAACTCAGCATTCTTTGTCCTCCAAACACGACGAGTTGAGTTTTTACCAAAAAGTTCTATTTTGGTTTCATCTGACCATATGACATTCTCCCAATCCTCTTCTGGATCATCCAAATGCACTCTAGCAAACTTCAGACGTGTACCTATGATGAAAATTACAGGCCTCTCTCATCTTTTTAAGTGGGAGAACTTGCACAATTGGTGGCTGACTTAATACTTTTTTCCCCCACTGTAAGTCCCATTTATTATTATACTGAACAAAAATATAAACGCAACACTTTAAATGATTTTACTGAATTACAGTTCATGTAAGGAAATCAGTCAATTGAAATTAAATTCATTAGGTCCTAATCTATGGACTTCACATGACTGGGAATACAGATATGCATCTGTTGGTCACAGATACCTTTTTAAAAAATGGGCCTCACAATGGGCCTCAGGATCTCGTCACGGTATCTCTGTGCATTCAAATTGCCAATGATAAAATGCAATTGTGTTCGTTGTCCGTAGCTTATGCCTTCCCATACCATAACCCCACTGCCACCATGGGGCACTCTGTTCACAACATTGACATCAGCAAACCGCTGTGAGGCCGGTTGGACGAACTGCGAAATTCTCTAAAACGACGTTGGAGGCGGCTTATGGTAGAGAAATGAACATTCAAATTCTTTGGCAACAGCTCTGGTGGACATTCCTGCAGTCAGCATGCCAATTGCACGGTCCCTCAACTTGACATCTGTGGCATTGTGTGACAAAACTGCTCATTTTAGTGGCCTTTTATTGTCCCCAGCATAAGGTGCACCTGTGTAATGATCATTCTATTTAATCAGCTTCTTGATATGCCACACCTATCAGGTGTATGAATTATCTTTTTCTTTTTCTTTTTTGTGGGGGGTGGATCAGCTTAATATTGCAGATAGATTGTATCTTCTATCAATGTAATTGTCTGCATCACTTCCAATCCCCCATGTTTTCTATATATATACTACTTGGAGTAAATTAGTGAACAACAATGCCCAGGCCTCTACTTCCGGTCTATACTTACTATCTACACCTTATGGACACAGTTAATTTTACAATAATTCTATTATATATATTATTATTATTTTTTTGCTCCTGGACTACTTCTACTCTCAACCTCTCCGATCATTTTCATGATGTCCATCCGGTTTGCTTCTATATGCCATATCTTTCTAACTGTGCTCTTTCCCAAATGCTCCCAACATACAACCTATATACTTATTATGGACACAGTATGCTTACATTATTAGCTATCTTTATTATTTGTTGTTATTTGTTATTAGTCCCATCCTTCAACTCTATTCAATACCTCCCATCTATCTCTTAACTCCATCCATATAGGATTTCTATTTGCCATATATATTTCAACCGTACTGTGATGTTTTACAAAAGTTCTGAACCTTTCTATTCTCATTGCTTCTACAGATTGTGAATTAAAAATAAACATTTTTGCTAAAAGTACTATTATATTATTGATCGATTGACTATGACTTTTCAGATCACCCAGTAATGCTATCTGCAAGGTTAGCTCCAGGTAAATATTGCAATCCTTTAGCCATTCCTGGACCTGTGTCCAAAAACAAGCTACAAATGGACAGAACCAAAACAAATGATCTAATGATTCTGTCTCTTCACAGCAAAATCTGCAGAGCTGGGAAGATTGTATCCCCCATATAAATAACATTCTATTGGTAGCAAGAATTTTATATAATAATTTAAATTGAAAGATTAAAATTTTTGAATCCGGTGTCGTTTTGCGTGTCAGTTCATAAACACTATGCCATGGGATCGGTACGTCAAAAATCTCTTCCCAACTATTTTGCAATCTATATGGGACGGCTGTCAATCCTTTGGTCCTTAAGTGAAACTGATATACTTTTTTATTTATCACAGTTTTCCTTAACCAATTATGTTCTTTAATGCAAGGCCGACAGACAAGTTCCTTACTTTCTCCCCCTTCCACTTTCCTCTTCCACTTTTGCGGTAAGGCTGCAATTATTTGGTTGTAATTTTGGGTAGAGCATACATTTCCATATGTTTTTGTTAGCTGCATGTGCGACAACTCCACCAGTCCTACCGATGATATCATTTATGAAGATTATACCTTTTTTAAACATTCTGTCAAAAAATAAAGGTTTTTTGTCAATTAGTATATTTGTATTTAACCATAATATTTGTTGCATTATTTGTTCTGTCGTTTCTGGAGAATTAAATTGAAATTGCAACCAACTTTCTATGGCTTGTTTTAGAAATAGTGATATTTGGGAGATTTCCTTTTCAAATAACTGCAAATTAGTTGTTGTAATCTGAATAAAGGGAAAAAGGCCTTTCTTGAACATTGGGTGAGACAATCTTACTAATTTGCTTGAGAACCAGTTCGGATTTAAGTATAACTTTTGTATGACTGAAGCTTTTAGTGATAGGTCTAATGCTTTAATATTTAATAATTTCTGTCCTCCGAATTCATATTCATTATATAAATATGCCCTTTTAATTTTGTCTGGCTTGCCGTTCCAAATAAAATTGAATATTCTTTTCTCATATAATTTAAAAAACTGTTCGCTAGGCGTAGGCAAGACCATAAGCAAATAGGTAAACTGGGATAATACTAAAGAGTTAATCAGGGTGGTTTTTCCACAAATTGACAGGTATTTTCCTTTCCATGGTAGTAAGATCTTATCTATTTTTGCTAACTTTCTATTAAAATGTATTGAAGTGAGATCATTTATTTCCTTTGGGATATGTATTCCGAGTATATCCACATCACCATCAGACCATTTTATTGGTAAACTACATGGTAATGTAAAAATTGTATTTTTTTGTGATCCAATATGTAATATAGTACATTTGTCATAATTTGGTTGTAATCCAGAGAGGTTAGAAAATGTATCTAGATCCTCTATGAGGTTGTGGAGGGATTCTAGTTGTGGATCTAAAAGAAAACATGAATCATCAGCGTACAATGACACCTTTGTTTTTAAGCCCTGGATTTCTAATCCTCTGATATTATTATTGGATCTGATTTTAATAGCTAACATCTCGATGGCCACAATAAATAGATATGCCGATAGTGGACAACCTTGTTTCACTCCTCTTGACAGTTTAAAACTTTCTGAGAAATAGCCATTATTTACTATTTTACACCTAGGGTTACTATACATGATTTTGACCCATTTTATAAGATATTCTCCAAAATTGAAATGCTCCAGGCATTTATATATAAACCCCAGTCGAACTTTATCAAATGCCTTTTCGAAGTCTGCTATGAATAGCAGGCCTGGTTTCCCATATTTTCCATAGTGTTCTATTGTTTCCAATACTTGCCTTATATTATCTCCAATGTATCTTCCATGTAAAAAACCTGTCTGATTAGAATGAATAATATCCAACAATACCTTTTTAATTCTATGTGCTATACATTTTGCTAGAATTTTTGCATCACAACACTGATGTGTAAGGGGCCTCCAATTTTGTAAATGGACTGGATCTTTATATTTTCCACTTGTATCCTGTTTCAGTAATAATGAGATCAGACCTTCTTCTTGAGTGTCAGATAATCTACCATTTGCATAGGAGTGGTTAAAACATGCTAATAACGGTCCTCTTAGTATATCAAAAAAGGTTTGGTATACCTCGACTGGTATGCCATCCAACCCTGGAGTTTTCCCAGACTTAAAGTCTTTAATTGCATCCAGAAGTTCCTCCTCTGTAATTTCACCTTCACATGAGTCTTTCTGTGTGGCTGTTAATTTGACATTATCAATAGAAAAAAAAATCTCTACAATTAGCTTCAGTTAGAGGAGATGGAGGCGACTGAAAAGAAAACATATGCTTAAAGTACTTTGTTTCTTCCTTCAAAATATCATTTGGTGAATTATGGGTGACTCCGTCAATTGTAACCAGTTTCATTAAGTTCTTTTTGGTAGCATTCCTATGTTGAAGATTAAAAAAGAATTTTGTGCATTTTCCCCCATATTCCATCCAGTTTGCTTTATTTTTATAATATATTACACTTGATCTTTCTTGAATAAGTTTCTCCATTTCTTTTTGTTTTTCCTCTAATTTATTCTGAGCCTCTATGTTACAATTTTTATTGCCATCTATCTGTTCTGTTAGACTTTCTATTTCCTTTCTTAGTATAAACTCTTTTGACCTAAATTGCTTTTGTTTTCGAGATGAGTTCTGAATTGCATGGCCTCTAAAGGCACATTTAAAGGTGTCCCATACAATAAGGGGATTCGCTGTACTTATGTTATGTTGGAAAAAGTCAGTTAAATTCCTTTGTTCTAATTATAAATAAATTATCATCCAATAGGCTTTGATTACATTTCCAATATCCTCGCCCACGTGGAAATTCAGTAAGAGTAATGTATATGCCTATTATATGATGGTCCGACCGCATTCTGTCCCCTATCAACACTTTTTTTTTTTGAATTATCTTGGCAAAGAAAGAAATGCTCACTAACAGGGATGTAAACATTTGTGCACAACATTTTAGAGAAATAAGCTTTTTGTGCGTATGGAACATTTTGGGGATCTTTAATTTCATCTTATGAAACATGGGACCAACACTTTACATGTTGCGTTTTTTATTTTTGGTCAGTGTAGTATTATCATTATTTATCATGTAATTGAACTTTTTTCTCTCTCTGTCACACTCTCTCTTTCCCTCTCTCTCTGCATCCGTTGATGTCACTGTTACTTGACCCATAGTAAAATCTATTTTTCTTACCTGTGTTCATTTCCACACGCAATTAAGCTCAGGAAGGATGATACCTAGCCTGGTTCCAGATATGTTTGTGCTCTTGCCCCCATTGATTACTGTCATTGCCATTACAATGAGTGAGAAGGAGTTGGCATGGTAGCACAAACAGACTGACACTCAGGCTAGAGGATACCTGCCTCTTTGAATCTTTCTCTCTCTCACTCACTCATTCTCTCTCTCCGACTTCCTTCTCTCCCCCTCCCTCAGTGTTTGTGGTCCTGGGCACCTGTATCGCCGTCCAGCTTGGCACTAACCCCGACTGGATGTTCTTCTGCTGCTTTGCCGGCATGTTCATGTTCTACTGTGCCCACTGGCAGACCTACGTATCGGGCACCCTGCGCTTTGGCATGTGAGTTGGGGGGGGGGGGGGGTACAAACCAGGCAAACGGCCAGGACAAGAGCATCATGCCTGATGTTCCAGGGGCCATATTTATAAAGCATCTCAGACTAGGAGTGCTGATCCAGGATCAGGTCCCCCCTCTTATTCTTTCTGAATAAAAATGCAAAACTGATCCTATATCAGCACTCCTAGTCTGAGATGCTTTATGAACACAGGTCCTGAAATTTAGAAATAAAATAGCTATGTAATTGCACCCTTTAGTATTTGTCTAGTATGTATGCAACCGTGGGAACAGAGCTACCTGGTCTTTTCCCTGGTGGGCAGATTTGATGTCAGAGTATCTGATCTGTGTAGCACTGTTACAGACATGCACACCCACGTTTGGGCCCGGGTTCTGGAACTTGACGGTAAAACGAGAGCATAATCCGTGTGACTTCCCTGTTGAAGATAACCCTTGTGTCCATAAGGCAATCAGGCCCCACTTCCTGCACATACTGCCCCCATAGCCAACGTTGTCCTATTGCATAGGAATTGTACAACTTTTTCATAGACCCTGTTTCATTCATTCTCACATCGCTTTGATACAGGAATTTGGTATTTGATAGAGATGACTCAATTTGATTAGATATGAGCTATCCTAGATTACGTTGATCTCTGTTGACTACTGGAATCATTTTAGGATGCAGATGGAATTCACATAAAGGTTTGGGCCAGTTATAATTTACGACAAATGTTTTGGGCCCACCACAAACATTTGTGCAGTGCTTTGAGGTCATAGGCTATATTTTGACCTCAAACTAAACCTGTTTATTCTGATTGTTTTTAACAATGATAGTTCTGTCATGACAGCTAGTTCACCCAGTACATTTCTGTACCAGCAGCCGTGTTGACAGTGACACCAGGACTTAAGCAGCTGATTTTAGATTTAGATGGGACTTCACATATCAACATTGGCTAATCCGATTGGCTTTCGGGAACAACCACAAGGACAAGGGATGAATGTCCTTGGAGTATGGTTAATTTTTATTTAACAATATGATTTGATATGATGTAAGCCCTTGACAGAGTAAGTAAGCGCTAAGTAGGATGTCAGACAGAATAAAAAAATAAACTATCAGATCAGGTTCCTCTCAGCCTTTGGAGGGAAATCTTCTTTACATCCCCCACACACATTCACAACCAAGAGGAATGGGTGCAGTTTGTGCAGCACCTGCTAGGGGGTGCTATGTGCATGTTTTTCATGAGTGCTGTGTGAAATCACTAATGGTTGCTCATGATTCCTCTGTCTCTCTTCCCATTCAGCGTTGATGTGACTGAAGTGCAGTTCTTCATTATAATCATGTATTTACTGGCTGCCATCGGAGGATCAGCTTTTTGGCAGTTCTTGGTAATGCATTTAACCCATTTGATTCAGCAAATTATGGTCTGTTTCTACTGCTTGGATTTGAAAAAAATGACACTAATGCTAATATGTACATGCATTGTAGTTTGATGCATTTGATCTGGCATGTTGGTTGAAGTGTTAAGACTCACGTCCTGGTTGATGATTGTGTGAATACTTCAGAAATGCATCCTTTCCTTGTTTCCTGGAGGTAAGCACAAATCTATAAGTGATTGGATAGGTGAAAGCCAGGTTACCGGCCTATACTTTCACCAATCCAACAAATTCTGATCTGTCTTTACTTAAAGGATGGTAGGAAGGAAGGATGCATTTCGAAAGTATTGGAACAAGGCTCTTACTAACCACCCAAACACACACAGATCCCTGTGGCGAACATCCAGATTAAGATCATTCCAGCCATCCTCACTGTGGCAGGAGCCATCTTTTCCTGCACCAACTACTTCCGGGTCATATTCACGGGAGGCATAGGAAAGAACGGATCCACCATAGCGGTAAGACGTGATCCATCCTTGCTGATGAGGATCCAGTTGAATTGTATGGCTGATAAAAGGTGACTTAGTACAGTCTAGGAAGGAAGGTTATAGTCCTGCTGCTCATTGCATTGGTTATTTCATCTTAGGTAGTAATATGATATGGGTGGCAGGCACAGGAGGTTGGTGGCACCTTAATTGGGGAGGACGGGCTCGTGGTAATGGCTGGAGCGGAATCAGTGGAATGGTATTTGATGGTATCAAATACAAATGCCATTCCATTTGCTCGGTTCCAGCCATTCTTATGAGCCGTCCTCCCCTTAGCAGCCTCCTGTGGCGGCAGGTAGCCTAGCGGGTAGAGGCGAATCCCGGGTCTGATGGGTAAAATCTGGTGAGAAGTGAGCTGCTATTGTGCCCTTGAGCAAGGGACTTAACCCCCCACAACAACTTCTCCACGGGTGCCTTGCTCCAATCTCTCCAACCTGTGTCTTTCGGTTGGGCTTTGTCAAATTTCGGTTGGACTTTGTGTACAATTGACGAATAAAGTGAACTTAATCTCTTAATCGTAATTACAATTACTATATATATCGTACAGTGTGTCAAGCTTAATTAAAAAAACATCAACAGCATTTGTTTTTGTTCTGGCCAGTCTTTTCTAATGCTTAAAGGGCGACTGCACTTCCTGATTTGGTTCATTAAGAAACACTAATTGAAACGCGAGTTGGTTTCGGGGTGTGGTTTGATGTGGGTGTCTCTTGTGTGTGTTCGCAGGTGGGAAGAGTTAGCCAAATGATTTAGCCAATTAGCTTTAGCCGACTGGTGTGCGACCATGGCAAAGTTGGTTTGATTTTAGGTAGCCTATCTCTGGGGATAGTGAAGAATATCAATAAATTACACAATGTAAATTAAACAATAAATTGTTTTCATTTTGCACATATTTTAGTTGTCTCATTTAAATTCTTTCAATATTTGTATATACATTTCTACAACTTATAGTTGGGTTGAGGTTGTTATTGAAATTTGGAGCTATTATACTTTTAAAATATTGTCCCATGTACATTGTGTAATTTACTGATTGTCCCTAACTAGCCCCATAGGGATATCTAATGTCAAACCAAATTGACCATGGGCATAACGATCAGGTCGTGTGCAGCTATGCTCCGAACTGATGATTACTTGGGTGATGCCAGCTGTGGGCATGTGGACAGGATTAAAATAAACCCAACCCAAGGAAAACTGTTATGGTACCCTTCATTCCGTGACATAGAGCCATGACTACATGGAACTCTCTGCCACCCCAGGTAACTCAAGCTAGCAATAAAACCAGATTCAAAAACCAGATAAAAGAACGCCTTACGGCACAACATGGACTGTGAAGAGAGAGAGACATTTTTATATATTTTGTATTGTATTTTGCACTGTATTGTATTATGTAGGTAAGTGACCTTGCACGAGCCTTGGCTTGTGCGAGCCGGAATGGCTCAAAGGGCAGGACCCATCTCCTGTTTCTGAAGCGTGAGGCAGAAACATGAGATTACGCAGATAAAGTATTATAGAATTATTATGGTGGATCGAACTGCACAGGTGGCCTACTTTTTGAAGTGATTTGTTTGACGAGCAGATGAAAACATCACACTACACACATGATATGAGAAACAGCCTGCGCAGACCGCAAAAACAACAGTAAACAGGATAAGATGTTCACATGCCACAGTATCCCATTTTAGATCAGCATATCCCAGGCATCTTACCTGGGTTTCTCATAACCGGGATACAAGCTTTTTCGGGTTATTGTAAATGGGACATGATGTTTGTGTGTCAACTCAAACACAGAATACTTGAATATCTCGAATAATAACAGGATATTGGTGTGCATGTAAACGTGGTCACTGATTTGAAGTGGATTTAAAAGGTGACATCAATAAGGGATCATAGCTTTCACCTGGATTCACCTGGTCAGTCTGTCATGGAAAGAGCACGTGTTGTTAATGTTTTGTACACTCAGTGTATATTATGTTATTATATTATGTATTTTATTTGTTGTGTGTTGTTTCCTGTTTGGACCCCAGGAACAGTAGTTGGGGATCCTAATAAATACTAAATACTTTTTTGGACGAGGCTGACTTTATGATACAAATTATCCTATTTACACTTTGTAGTCAATTTTGACACTAGAATAAATGTTTCTGACTTATATCGATGCCACATAGGGCATTTTCAAAACAAGATGTTGCTTTTTAGGGGCAGTCTCTCTTTAAATACCACAGCACATCGCATTCTTAATTTCTTGGCCTCCATAAAATGGTGACAACGGATGCTTTTTCATTTATTTCAGCCAAGCCACTGACCTCTCTGCAGAGCTTTACCTTGCAGTTTATTGATCACTTTAGAGAAGGACAAGAATGGTGGCATTTTCAGCTAGGTACAGTGATTGGGGCGGCAGGTAGCTTAGTGGGTAAGAGCGTTGTGCCAGTAACCGAAAGGTCGCTGGTTCTAATCCCCGAGCCGACTAGGTGAAAAATCTGTCGATGTGCCCTTAAGCAAGGCACTTAACCCTAATTGCTCCTGTAAGTCGCTCTGGATAAGAGCGTCTGCTAAATGACTAAAATGTAAATGTAAATGATTGTGACATCCATGTCCCGTCTTCTTCCTCAGGGAACGAGTGTCCTGTCACCGTTCTTCCACATAGGGTTAGTTATCACTCTGGCTGTCATGATCTACAAGAAGTCTGCGTCCCAGCTGTTTGAGAAGCACCCATGTCTCTACGTCCTGGCCTTTGGGTTTGTGTCGGCCAAGATCACCATCAAGCTAGTGGTGAGGAAGCAGATGGCCTGAAACATGAAACACTGAAAGAGCCAGGTTACTTTCCAATATCCACACTAGTATACCACTTGGAATACATGTCCAATATTTTGCTTTATTCTATATGGTATGTTCGTGTGGATGTTTGAACATTGGCCTAATGTGCCCTGTTTTAGTTGTGTTAACTCAGGTTTAAAGCTAAAATCTGGGATTCGTTATTCAGCAAAATAGCAGCCTTGCTTGTTTTGGTATACAGCTGTCGGCTCGAGTAAATTACCTTTGAAAGTCTGTTAGTGTGCTGCACTATAACTCACCTTGCATTGAATCCCAACTCTAGTCCAATGTTTTTGGACTCAATATAGTTTTTCCTTCTTTACCTTAACACTGCCCCATCTTCTTTTTTTTATTTTATTTTTTACAGGTGGCTCATATGACGAAAAGTGAGATGTCTCTCCATGACTTGGCTTACCTGGGGCCAGGGCTGCTCTTCTTGGACCAGTATTTTAACAGCATCATAGACGAGTACTTGGTCCTCTGGGTGGCACTAGTAAGTCTACACCTCAATCGCTTCATCCATTTGCACGTACCAAGCCAATTGAAACCTAAATGAAAGTTAGGATTCTTTCCTTTTACTTAGTTTGCAGTACAATGTAGATGCCTAGCTTACATTTGTGCCAATTAGTTTTTTTGAAGTTGTATATTTTTTGGGTTTGGACCCCAGGAGGAGTAGCGGCTGCCTTGGCAGCAGCTAATGGGGATCCTAATAAAATACTAAATACTTTTCAGGGGGGATTTATTCAAAAGATGATAGACACACAATAAAAAACACAACCAATTTTGTATATAGGTAGCTTTCAATTTACTTTATTTGACACCCATCCTCTGTCTTGTTTCTTTCCAGTTCCTATCCATCTTTGACTTGGTGCGCTACTGCGTCAGCGTCTGCAACCAGATCGCCTCTCACCTGCACATCTTTGTATTCAAGATCAAACCCCCCAACCTGCGGCCAGTCGCTGCCTCCCAGTCAGGCAAAGATGTGTGGTGACACTGGTGTCCCTGGTCTGGTGACACTACTGACACCGTCCGGACGGAGTTGGAGCTGGTGGGAGTACCTCTACCGCCTCCCCCTCGTTGCCACAGGATTCCCATTGGATGAGACGAATTGGAGGCGGTCTCTCTACGAATGTATTAGCCAATGAAATTATGAATACATTGAGGGCGGTGAAAAGAAGAGGAGGGACAAAAACAAATGAAAATAATTTCTTTCAATCTCTTTGGTGTGCAATAATGCTCTGTTTTTGCTGATGTTGTGTTTGGTGTTAAAGGTTCATAGCCGAAGAGGAGAAAGAGGGAGCGAGTTTCCTTTTGAGGTTTTGTTTATTTTGTCATAAAAGAGCACCCCGTTATTTGGTAACACTATTTACGAGAATTAGTTGTCTAACCAAACTTTATGGATAGGGGTTAATGTTACTTACTATAACTATGCTGCCACTATCTGTATATTAGCAATTTTTTAGGTTATACCTAACCAAATAATATTATACTTATCTACGTGAAAAACACCTACAGTTTATTAATGTTTGTGTCAGAACAGTATGACTGAACTTAAATGTATCTGTTCTTTCAGTATTGGTACTAGTTCAGCTCCTCTACGTACAATAACTACTTGTTCCACTCCAGAGAAAACGTTAGTCCTCTGTTCAAGGTGTAGTTCTGTGTACTGCATTCAGTTTTAACCATCTGAAAAGCTGTCATAGTTTGGGGATGGTATTCAGTGGAAGAACACATGGTCACGAGCGCGTTGCTTAATGTCCTAAGACCGCCTTGCATTTCTATTGTTGATCCTATGTCACCCTTGTCCTGTATACATGATGAAGGCGCACATGTATGGCACTGAAGTATCTTTTCGATAAGCCCCAACGAACAAAGAAAGCATTGTCATCATATTTTCATAATATGGCTACGTACTTCTTTTCGTCCCATGTAATAGCCGTACAAATGGATCTCTACATTATACAACTCTGTATATGAGAGACGGGTCACGGTTCCTGCTGTATGCTTCCAGTTAACTTGTGCCATATGTGATGAAAGTCAATGGAGCATTGCTAGTTATCAGTTACAAGCATTCAGACTCTTAACCGTGAGGAATTTGGTCTTATTATGCTACTCAAGTAACAGTTAAGAGTAAGTGTTCTGTCTTCCACAAGTCATTCTGTCATCATAGATGACAAAAATAAATGTGGGATGTTTTGGTGATAGGTGTTACTCCAACTCCACACACTCCTTTTACATTATTCCTCCATTTTTAATTATTATTCTTACATTTTCTTTTCAGCTGTGTTGCTTTTTAGTTGCGCTTTGGTTCTACTGTAGCGTTGCTCAAATAGGAGTCGGTCAGGCTGCCACTAGTATAACCTCACCACTTGGAGGAACTGCTTGGATGTGAAAAATGCAATACAGTCGTTAACAGTTGCCTTAAATGCTAAGTACTTGCATTGGAAGGGAAAAGGCTAGTGTTAAATGTTGTGGTATAAATGCTTGATTAGTTACAGATGAATACAGTTCGCTTCCACTTCACTCCCTAAACCTAACCTTAGTCACTTCAACTCCCCCACAGCAACACTGGTATCATTGCAGTTCCATACCCATTAGGGCTCTCTCTATTCATAGTGAACTCTGGTCTGTTACGCTGTTACATAATAGCCCATCAGTTCTCTCCCTCTGTGTGCAACAGGTCAATCCACCCATTCTGTCTGCGGTCTCGTCATTAAGCAAGTATTCAACTTTAGAACTAGATCCATACGGATGGACGCAGTACTGTCCATGGTCAAACATAAGGAATGTTTTTTTTTTTCTGCAAAAATTAAGGAATGCCTCTTACCCTACCGATTTAGCTTATATCAAACAGTGATGCATAGAGTATTAAAATGTCTGCCGCTAATGTCTCATAACAACAAAAGAGCTTGTCAGTGTTCTCTTTTGTGTGTGTATCATATGCATGGGATGGGCATTACAATCCACTGTAGTGGTCACAGCCAATAGCCACATGGATATATCTGTAACTGATGGTGTTCAACCAATCGAAACACCCATTCAAATGTAACAAATATTCCCTTGGATTGTTTGTCATTTCGGAACAATGCAGAGATTTTGAAGATGAAATGTGAAGGGTGAATCAATTGTTGGCCGTTGTAAAAAATAAATAAATGTTTGTCATTTTATTTTTTTGTGTTTAATGATGTTCAATGTTTCTTTATTTGGGGTTTGGTCAACATTTTTACTTTGTCAAAGAAAATAATACATTTTTGAATAAACAAGCTTATATAAAATAAAGATTGCTATATTTATAACAGATCTAGAGTCTATTGCTATCAGTCTTGAGTGTATGTCATGCACTCTTTAGTGTTCTGCAATATTGTTCTACAGTGCAAATGTGACTAATGACCATTGGAAGACAGCATAATTGGAAACAGACTCTAGGGTTGGATACTGTAGCTTTAATATTCAGGGGGGGGGGGGGGGGGGGGAATATGAGGTTTCAGACACAAACACACTCACATTCACTCTAGCCCAATTTATACCTGGTTCTAATATGCGTCCTTCGTGTGGATATCGTCCTGACGTTGTCCGTTTACAATTTTAAGATCAGATCACAATGTGTATTTTAATTGTCTACACCCATCTAAAAATGTGGACACAATCTGAATGTGGACAAGATCAAGACAAAGGACATGTTAGAAGCAGGTATAAACGGGGCTTCTCTCACACACAATCATTCGGTTGCTCGCTCACACAGATCTGTGCCACCCTGCTTCATTCCGCATCCGAGCAGTTTACTATGGAGTTAGATGGTTTTCTTTGTTCTGTAAGTGTGTCTACCACGATCCGTGCGTATATTCAACATAACTCACAAAGACAACTATGATCTGTGAATATATTAAAATATTTAGTAAATAAAACCATAATCCGTAAATATTTTACAAATTAAACCATTAAACTATTTTAACAAACCTAACGCAATGGTACATCTAAGCACTGGTGGTAGCGCTATAGGTTCGGGGGTGTGTGAAATATTTTTGCTATTTTCACAACCACTATCTGCTCAGTTGCTGTTGTTGGCGCGAAAGGCCTGGGTTTTGATGAATTAACAAGTTGTGGATGTGGCCCGTGTAGCTCAGTTGGTAGAGCATGGCGCTTGCAATGCCAGGGTAGTGGGTTCGATTCCTACAGGGGGCAAGTATAAAATTTAAAATTAAAAACATGTATGCACTCACTAACTGTCGTTGCTTCAAGATGTGTATTAAGGTCTTATGTATTGCCTTGGGATCAACTCCAAAGTTAGTCTAACTATAACAAACAGCTTACAGAAACAAAATAGTAGGCCTCTCATCTTTGCTAAATATGTTAACTTCAACCTGTTTGCAATCCACTTGTTCTAAGTAATTGCATGGCTTCAATGTGGAAATATACTGAACAAAAATATAAACGCAACATGTAAAGTGTTGGTTTCATGAACTGAAATATAAGATCCCATATATTTTCCATATGCACAAAAAGCTTATTTTTCTCAAATGTTGTGCACAAATTTGATTACATCCCTGTTAGTGAGCATTTATCCTTTGCCAAGCTAATCCATCCACCTGACAGGTGGCATATCAAGAAGCTGATTAAACAGCATGATCATTACATAGGTGCACCTTGTGCTGGGGACAATAAAAGGCCACTAAAATGTGCAGTTTTGTCACATAACACAAAGCCACAGATATCTCAAGTTTTGAAGGAGCGTGCAATTGGCATGCTGACTGCAGGAATGTCCACCAGAGCTGTTGCCAGAGAATTGAATGTTCATTTCTCTACCATAAGCCACCTCCAACATTGCTTTAGAGAATTTGGCAGTACATCCAACAGGCCTCACAATGGCAGACCACGTGTAACCTCGCCAGCCCAGGACCTCCACATCCGGCTTCTTCACCTGCAGGATTGTCTGAGACCAGCCACCTGGACAGCTGATGAAACTCAGGAGTATTTCTGTCTGCAATAAACCCCTTTTGTGGGGAAAAACTCATTCTGGTCCTGCCTCCCCAGTGGGTGGGCCTATGCCCTCCCAGGCCCACCCATGGCTGCGCCCCTGCCCAGTCATGTGAAATCCATAGATTAGGGCCTAAATAATATATTTCAATTGACTGATTTCCTTATATGAACTGTAACTCAGTAAAATCGTTGAAATTGTTGCATGTTGATGTATATTTTTGTTCAGTATACAGTGAGGGAAAAAAGTATTTGATCCCCTGCTGATTTTGTACGTTTGCCCACTGACAAAGAAATGATCAGTCTATAATTTTAATGGTAGGTTTATTTGAACAGTGAGAGACAGAACAACAACAAAATCCAGAAAAACACATGTCAAAAATGTTATAAATTGATTTGCATTTTAATGAGGGAAATAAGTATTTGATCCCCTCTCAATCAGAAAGATTTCTGGCTCCCAGGTGTCTTTTATACAGGTAACGAGCTGAGATTAGGAGCACACTCTTAAAGGGAGTGCTCCTAATCTCAGTTTTTTACCTGTATAAAAGACACCTGTCCACAGAAGCAATCAATCAATCAGATTACAAACTCTCCACCATGGCCAAGACCAAAGAGCTCTCCAAGGATGTCAGGGACAAGATTGTAGACCTACACAAGGCTGGAATGGGCTACAAAACCATCGCCAAGCAGCTTGGTGAGAAGGTGACAACAGTTGGTGCGATTATTCGCAAATGGAAGAAACACAAAATAACTGTCAATCTCCCTCGGCCTGGGGCTCCATGCAACATCTCACCTCGTGGAGTTGCAATGATCATTAGAACAGTGAGGAATCAGCCCAGAACTACACGGGAGGATCTTGTCAATGATCTCAAGGCAGCTGGGACCATAGTCACCAAGAAAACAATTGGTAACACACTACGCCGTGAAATCATGCAGCGCCCGCAAGGTCCCCCTGCTCAAGAAAGCACATATACAGGCCCGTCTGAAGTTTGCCAATGAACATCTGAATGATTC